TTGGTCAGCCCAAATGACATAACAAGGAACTCGTAATGGCCATACCGAGTCCTGAAAGCAGTCTTCGGGATATCTGGTTCTCGAATCTTCAATTGATGGTAACCTGAGCGCAAATCAATCTTAGAAAACACTCGTGCGCCCTGAAGCTGGTCAAATAGATCATCGATACGAGGCAAAGGATAACGGTTTTTAACTGTAACTTTGTTCAACTGGCGATAATCAATACACATACGCATAGAACCATCCTTTTTCTTTACAAACAAGACAGGAGCACCACAAGGCAATACACTGGGACGAATAAAACCCTTATCAAGCAATTCTTGCAACTCATCCTTCAACTCAGGAGGAGTCATACGATATGGGGGAATAGAAATGGGCTGAGTGCCCAGCAACATATCAATGCCAAAATCAATATCTCTATCAGGCGGCATGCCTGGAAGATCAGCTGGAAACACATCAGGAAAATCTCGTACTAATGGAACTGAATCAACTGAAGGAGTATCAATACTGACGTCTCTCACATAAGCTAAGTACGTGGCACACCCCTTTTCAACCATATGTTGAGCTTTAAGAAAAGAGATAACTCTACTGGGAGTGTGATCTAAAGTACCACTCCACTCAACACGCGGCATACCTGGCATAGCCAGCGTCACGGTCTTGGCGTGACAATCAAGAGTAGCATAATGGGGCGACAACCAGTCTATGCCCAGAATAATATCAAAATCAACCATGTTGAGCAACAATAGGTCTGCTCTGGTCTCAAGATCACGAATAGTGACCAAACACGACCAATAAACGCGGTCCACAATAATAGAATCACCCACAAGAGTAGATATATAAACAGGAGAACTCAACGAATCTCGGGCTACACCCAAATACGGAGCAAAATAAGAAGACACATAAGAATAAGTGGAGCCTGGATCGAATAGAACTGATGCATCTCTGTGACAAACCAGTATAATACCTATGATGACGGAATCGGAGGCAACAGCCTTGGTACGGGCAGGAAGGACATAGTATCTGGCCTAGCCTCTCCCTCTAGGGCGACCTCTACCTCCCCAAGCTCCACCTCTAGCTGGCTGAGCAGGTGGGGTAGAAACTGGAGCTGTAACCATAGANACTGGAGCTGTAACCATAGCCTGAGAACTCTGCGGGGCACGCTGTGGCTGAAAAGTCTGTGGAGGTGCACCCCTCCCAAGTCTAGGGATATCCCTCACCAGGTGGCGTGTGTCACCACACTCGAAACAAGCTCTGGGAGGATGTGGTCCAGGTCCAGGTCTGCTAGGCTGACCTCTGAAAGCACCCCGCGTAGGAGGCGCGCTAGAAACTGGAGGTGCATAATATGGATCCTGAGATCTGGGAGGAGCTGGAGCATTTCTGGCTGCTGGAAGAGCTGAATGAACGGGGCGACTCGTATAGCCCCTACCATGACGACCTGCANGGCTGGAGTAGTAGTGGTTGTAGGCGTGTTGGGTGCCTGAACTCCGGCTGGATCTGCTGGCGGTACCTCAGCGGCAGCTTGCGCAGGTGCTCTGGCTGCACCCCATGCGCGTCCACGGCCTCTGCGCCGACCCCTGCCTCTGACGGCTGCAGGAGGGGGTATGGGTGCCTGATCGTCCCGAGTAGCATGTGTCCTTACCATCTGTGAGAGAATAGAAGACAGAAGTTTAGAATTGATGTCAAAAATATCGCACGACAAGGAGATCAATGAAGTGAAGAATTATTTCCTAAACAATTACATAGCCCCTCGTAGATAAGTACAGACGTCTTTGTACCGATCAACAAGATTTTAATAAACCGGCCTATGTTCCGTGACTCCTATAAATCTAGAGCTCTAATACCAACTTGTCACGACCCTAGTTCACCAACCGTGAACACGTCATGATGGCACCTAGTCTCCGTGACTAGGTAAGCCTAACACTTGCGGAAACATAATAATTGCGGAAAAATAGAATACCATATTTAATTATCTAAAAAGGAAATTGTACTGAATGCTGCTCGACATATACGACTCAATATCTCAAGACTAAATCAATCCCAAAACCCGGAAACTCACGGGAAAACACAGGCTACAGAATATGTATAGTGAGGCTCCAAACTCCAGAATATCTAACAAATGGAAGGAAAGAGAACTAAGTACTAAAGATGGAATAAAGAGGGAGACTCGTCGGTCTGCGGACGCAACAGATCTACCTCGAAGTCTCCGTAATCCTCCTGCCTCACTGATAGTGCGCCTGAGTAGAGGTACCTGGATCTGCACATGAAAACATACGCAAAAGAGGCGTGAGTACACCATAACGGTACTCAGCAAGTGCCAAGCCTAACCTCGGTTGGGTAGTGACGAGGAAGGTCAGGGCCCTACTGAGGTTAAATAAAATATAAAGATGACAAGATAAGATAAACAGTGCAATTGAGAATCTACAATAAGAATCTATAGAGGATAATAAGAGTACAATAACGGAAATAGAGGTGAAAGCAAACCACAAGGGAAGTAGTCGGGGATCTCTAAGTATCCCGAGGATCTCTTAGCATCCTCAATATGTACTAGGGATCTCTTGGTATCCCGAGGATCTCTCGGTATCCTCAATATATGCCAGGGATCTCTTGGTATCCCGAGGATCTCTCGGTATCCTCAATTTACGTGCTAGGGATCTCTTTGTATCCCGAGGATCTCTCGGTATCCTCAATATATGCCAGGGATCTCTTGGTATCCCGATGATCTCTTGGTATCCTCAATATATATGCGAGGGGATCTCCCAGGAATCTAGCCCATAGTCCCAAAGTAAATGTGCAGGGGGAATCTCCAGGGAATCTAACCCGTAGTCCCAATTTAAAACACAGAGCAGCAACACAAGAATATTAAACTAAACGCTAATTCAGTACCAAGTAAACATTTACTTCTAGCCTAACATGCTTCACATAATGCAATTCAGGCAATTTAAGCAAATAGGCAATTAAGTCAACTAAACATGCCTTTCTAGACTAGCAACATGCTAAATTCACAAGTAGAATAAAACAAGAAAAGAACTCAATTGAAATACTTAAGGAAAAACCGGATTTTCAACAATTAGCTCAAGTACGCGCTCGTCACCTCACGTACAGGGCATTTCAATTATCAAATATAGCACATCCTAAGGGGAAAGGTCCCCCACACAAGGTTAGACAAACCACTTACCTCGAATGCTCCAAACTCAACTCACGCTTCTAGAATAGCTTTACCCCTCAAATTCACCACCCAACCGCTCGAATCTAGTCACAAATTACTTGAATGCATTAATAAATACTATTGGAACTAACCCCAATGCATAAAAATAGTTTTTACAAGGTCTTTTCCCAAAAAAAGGTCGAAAATGCCCCCGGGCCCATATGGTCGAAACTCGAGGTTCGGACCAAAACTCGGTTACCCATTCCCCCATGAATCCAAATATATGCTTAGTGTTGAAATCGGACCTCAATTTGAGGTTCAACTCCCCAAATTTAAGAAAAACCTAAGTTCTAACCAAAACCCCCAATTCCCATTTATGAAAATCCTTGATTCAAGTTGAAATCATATTAAAAGATGTCAAGGAATAAAGAAATTATGTTAGAAATCACTTACCAATCGTTTTGGAGAAGAAAGGTTGTTTGGAAAATCGACTCTTAGGTTTTGGGTTTTTGAAAAGTGGAAAAATGACCGAAAATCCCTAGTTTATATACTTTGCTGGGGGCTGGCGCGGACCGCGCAGAAATGTACGGCGGCCGCGCCGAGAGAGGGAAGAAGTGGGCTTTCNGGACCGCGCGGAAATGACCGCGGCCGCACTGGGGCCTGCAACATCTGAACCTGCATTTTTAAGCTTAAGATCTCCTGGGCCCCACTCAAAACTCACCCGAGCCCTCGGGGCTCCAAACCAAACATTCATATGATCTCGAAAACACTTTACAGACTTACTCGTGCGATCAAATCGCCAAAATAACATCATATACATAGGATAAAGCCTCAAAACTCATGGTTCTCTTTCAACTTTCATAAAACTCAAATTCCCCATTTTAAGTCCGAAACACGTCATATGACGTCCGTTTTTAGCCAAACTTTACAGATAGTGCTTAAAACATATTTAAGACTCGTATCGGGTGTCAGAACCAAAATACGAGCCCGGTACCACAGTTTTCTGATAAATTTTCTTGTTTATTTTCCTTAATAAATTTCAGGAAACAATTTCACACAAAAATTCATTTCTCGGGCTTAGCACCTCGGAATTTGATTCCGAGCACACGCCCAAGTCCCATATTTTTCTACGGATCCTCCAGGACCGTCGAATCACAGGTCTGGGTCCGTTTACCCAAAATGTTGACATATGTCAATATTATGCATATTAATATCAAAATTCATCAAATTTCTCACATAATTCGCATATTTCAACATAAAAGCTTTCCGGCTACGCACCCGGACTGTGCATGCAAATCGAGGCAACTAAAAAGCGAGGTTTTCAAGGCCTCGGAATCACGGAACAAGGAAGAACTACGGTGATGACCCTTTGGGTCGTCACACACTAAGTGTGAAAAAACAGATCGAAGATATTGATTCACATCTTCTTTTTGGATTTTGATTTCGCTGTTGTTTTCAGATTTTGATTTCACTGTTATTTTGATTTTGATTTCGGAGCTAAACTTCTGAATTTTAGCTGAAAATTCTAATCTAGGTTTGGAGATCTGGAGATCTAGAGGTTTCATTTCGAAAAATCTGTTACAGCTATATACTGTTGAAATTTCGAACACTGTTGATTTTGAACACTATTGAAATTTGCATTGTTGAGATTCAATTTTAGACATAAAAGTGATTATAACTTCAGAATCATGGAAAATATTCCAATTCTGCTGCAGCATAGTGGAGAATGGGATGATAACAATAATTTCATAAATTTTCATGTTGATGCAATTCTAATAAAGACCTCTTGGAAATTTGAACAACTTCTCAGAGAAATTGCAAAGCAACTGCAAAAGGACAGTAAAACAATAGTTATTCAGTATGCTATTGCTCAAGGATATCCACCAATTACAATTTGCAGCGATATAAGTGTTAGTGTTTACATGGAATTGAAAAAATCAAGTGCAGAGATGACAACACTTCCCCTGTGTGTGTCGTTTGCTAAAAATACTATAGCTGCAAGTACCTCCAGTTTCGATGTTGCTCCAATTTCATCAGAAATTGCACAATTTGAAAGCACTGATATGATTACTACGTTTGATGTGCAAGAAGGAGATGACGCCATTTTAGAACTTGATGATGCAAACATCATAACTGATCAATTTCATCAAAATGTTGAAAAAGGACAAATTTATGAAGACAAGAACCTGCTGGCTCTCGTTATGAAACAATATGCCGTTAGAGAAAAATGTCAATATCGGGTTCATAAATCATGCCCAAGAAGGTCCGTGTGCATGTTTTCAAGTAAAAAACTATGTGATACTTATATACTATATAAGTATGCTAAATCAGTATACTATGCGAGTATGGAATTGTATTGGTTTGTCTGTGTTTTTTATCAGTGATACTGGTATAGTATATAAGTATGCTATATCAGTATACTATGCGAGTATATAACTGTATTGGTTTCTTTGTTATTATCAGTAAAACGTAATACCAATATAGTATATATGTATGCCAAATCAGTATACTATGTGAGTATAGAATTGTGCTGCTTTGTCTATATTTTTTATCAGCAAAATATGATACTGATACAGTATATAAGTATACCAACAGAGTATACCATGTGAGTATATAATTGTACGGATTTTTGTGTGTGTTTTTTATCAATAAAATATTATACATAACTGTATTTGTATTATAAACAGGTATATCCTTGAATGCGTGGATGAAAGATGCACTTGGAGACTTAAAGCATCAAGCCTGCGAGCATCAAATCTTTTCAAAGTGACAGATTTCAATTCTGTCCACAGTTGTTTAACTGATAAGAGATTTTGTTCACAAAAGCAAGCTGTCTCAGCTTTTGTTGCAGCTGTGGTACAAGATAAACTTGTTGACCCGAAAACCATATATACACCAACAGATATCCAGAGAGACATCCAAAAAGCATATGGTATGGACTTAAGCTACATGCAAGCATGGAGATCAAAAGAAAAAGCAATGCAATTATTGAGACGATCACCAAGTGAATCATACAAGAAAATGCCAACATATCTTTATATGTTAGAGTACGCTAACCCAGGATCAGTGACACGACTACACACTGAAGGAGATGGGAGCTTCTTGTATGCATTCATAGCTATATATGCATCGATTAGAGGATGGGTCTATTGTAGGCCAACAGTTGTAGTTGATGGAAGTTTTTTAAAGTCAACATATAGAGGGACCATACTCACGGCTTCCACGCAAGACGCAGAGGGTAAGAATACAATCCAATTACATTCAGTTAAAGAAAGAAAAAATATTTTCAAATATATATGATACCACTATGGTATACAAGTATACCAACAGAGTATATAGTTGTTTTGCTACACACCTGCACGTACCTATAACTATACTACTATATGAAAT